TCTGTTAAAAACTAGAAAATGTAAGATAATTCTTGTAAGAAAAGAAAATTGTAAGTATTTTCTTATATTCAAATAGACAAAGACAATTGTGGTAGTTTTTGAAAATGATTAAATATGTACTTAATTAACTGTATAATTTATGAAAATTTGTTGATAACTGGTTGCATTACTTTTTTACCATATTATTTTAACAGTTTGTGTCACTAAGGTTGATATACATGTAATCACATCTTACAGATTTTATGTCAGTTCACTTAAGTTATAGATATATTTTTTGAATGGCAATCAAGATATGCAAAATTAAAAAAAAAAAGAACAATTCATTCGTGTAATATATCTCTGTGGATTCTGTCGTTCAAAGTGTTATATGTCAATTATTAGACAATATATCCATAATAATTGCAGCATTTCAAAATGGATATGTTCTTGCAATTTAAGGCAGAATTCTGTATTCATATGACCTTGACCCCCTAAGAAAAGAAATGTCAAGGTCAATACATAAGACAATTATCTGATGTACATGTATGTTCTATACATTATTTTTGCCCCATTTCTTACAACATCGTGAAAAGCACAAAAGTAGCTTTCAATGAATGAGCGATAACAAACTTCCGAAAAATTGAAATTTTTGTTGTTGCTTAGCAACCACTTAGAGGTCATTGAACACATATTTGAGCATAAGTGGTATATGGATGTTGTAGTTCAGCATGATGCTTTCTAAAGAGTTTATTCAGAACTATCTATTTCAGCATTCATTGTTGTAACATTTAGCTAGAATATTGAGAAGTGTTAAAAAAAAAATGATAAAATTCTGCAATTATGTCACCTTTGACCTCCTAGAAATAAGCGTACTGAAGTCAAACTTTAAGACAAATATTTATTGTACATCCTTCTTAATATTATGGCCCCATATCTGACTTTAAAAGGTAATGGAATGCATAAATATGATTTGGATGAGCAAATAACAAGAAATACCGCCCGAAAAATACAAAATACCCGTTGCTTAACAACCTCTTTAAAATCTTTATTTTGCAGAATTGAAAAAAAAATTATGTGATTAATATAGTTCAGTATAATGCCCTTTTGCGAGTATATTCTAAATTTCCTATTTCAACATATATCATTGTAAATGTTTAGCTTAAAGATTAAAAAGTGTCCAAAAATTCAATAAAATTCTGCACTTATTTGACATTTGACCTCTATTTCCAGTTGTAAGGTCAGTCGTGAGGTGTCTGAATAGCTATGGAATATCATCTCTGGAAAATTCCCTACAAAATGGTATGCATAATGCCTACCTTTCCCTCTAGATAAAAAGGTTAAAAATTAATTTATAATGATATGTCAAAAGGTCTTCAAAGTCGCTTAAAATACACCGTTAGAGAAAGGGTTAATCTAGTTGCGTAAACAATCGGTAAGTACGAGTACTTGCTGATATGTTCATAAATTATGTTTCTATCTCAATATACTAAATTTATAAATTGTTGGCATTACAGTATATTATCTTTAATAGCCTATACCTTTAAAAAAAAAAAAAAAAAAAAAAAAAAAAAAAAGAATCCTTGCAGATAGTTTATGTATATTTTCCCCCGATAAATCCATTTTAAATCATATCCTAGAATCATTCTACTTATTGAGTAGTCCTTAGTTGATTAGATATCATCCCTGTGTTTTGATAAAGATTATCTCATGTGTGCCTAACGCAAAGAGAGATGTGCAAAATAAAGCAGAACTAAATCTGTTAAATGAGCTCTAATTTTTCAAAAGTTATCACATCAAACTCGAATGAGTTTGCTTTTACACGTGACAGGGATCGATGCCTTGGTGAGAAATACTCTTTTAGGGCTTTAAAAAATCAAGAAATGTTTATTCAGAGAAAGAAGTTGCGACAAACAACCTGAAGTCATACAGTTATTTTTTGCTTAAATAAAGATGCATGGCGAATGTGCAAATAGAAACTATTTTACTCTCATATGTGTCATGTGTTATATTTCATATAGTACACTATTGGAGGAAAAAATGCCTAAAAGCCACATTATACTGTTAATATTTGTTTGATAATTACTGATATTATGCTGTTTTTGCTGATAACTACTGACACTTACTGATATCAATACTGGTGATAAATTTAGTTGATTCTGACAAATACTGATAATTACTGTCGCCTTTACGATTGAGTCTAATAATTGCCGATAATTAATATTGCTGTGAATAACTGAGAATTTACTGAGGTCATTGTTCTGGTTAAATAGCCTGAGTGATGATAAAATGTATAAAAAGAAATCAATATATCGTTATAAAAAATTCTAAAAGACATTTTAATACAGTCACTAGTTGTAGTCATCAATTTGACTTGTATAGATTTATAGATAGAATGCGTGAATATATGACAAGTAACATGTAGGTGTTCCGATTGCTCTATTAATTGACCCCCCCCCCCTCTTCTATACATAGTTCTCCTTTAAAGAAAGCGGTATTAAATATTTGATTAAAAAAACGCAATAGCTTTTTCGGTAAAATGAATGTTGACAGACATGGTCATAAAGAACCGACAAAGAGCTTTTGGCGTTGAACCTTTCAAAAGCTAGGACAGGGTTGTACCAATTCGTCTTACAAGAGTTTCATCCATTGCTATAATTTTTTTACCAGGTTAAGGCATTTTGTTCTCATTTGATGGTATCTTTATTAATGAATGCGTATATATTAAGGATGGCATTTGGTACATGTAACCGGTTAACCGATTACTCAGTCGGAACAATGGTAATCAGTTAGAAAAATCGGAAATCGGTTATTTGAAGAAAAAAAAAAAACTTTAAATGTAAATTTTTGAACGAAATTTCAAAATTTTATTTCAAATTCTTAGAAAAGCGCAGGTATGTTAAGGCAGTACCAAGATCATATTTCGGCGAATTTAGACTTTTTTCGTAAAATGGAACATTGATATATCGGAAAAGTCATAGATAAAACATCTACTATTATTATCGATTGTATAGATGTCACTGAGTCTTAGGCTAAAAGAAGCACTCAATTACGACGTCATCACGTGACGTCTATAAATAGAAAAATTGCCTTAATGAAAAAGTGAAAAGTTCAACACTACCCCGGAGATAATTCATTTCTTTTAGTGAAAATAATTATGTAAAAACACCACTGGGCCATGAAAAGTGCTGCTAGAATCCTACTCTCCCGACACAGAAAAAAACATTCCAAAGTTTTGCATGAAACCTTAACAATTTTTTTTTTTACATTTTATACATACAATCAAGGAATTGCTTTCAATTCATGTTAACCACACGATTCTAGCAGCACTTTCCAAGTACTAAAGAATACAAGCTTTCGATACAAACAAAAATTATGTTTCAGAGTATGCGGCGTAGTGTTGAACTTTTGTATCTTTGTTGTTATAGAACGACAGAGGAAAGGATGATAGGGATTTCAAAGCACTGCCTGTGTTCATTATAAGAAAACATGATAAGAATATATCAGCGTACCTGATTCTTAATCTTTAATTCCTTATGAATCACACATACAATTCACAGTATATGCTGACATCATTTCAGTAATGGGTTGCTTAGTTTATGAGGTGTTAGTTACTGTTTAAACAGCGCGTCCGTGCTCAGACTATCCTTAATTTCTTAATGCGTGGACAATATCAAAATCACTTTCGGGTACTGTGAATATAATAGTGAACCTGCTTTCAATGACTATTGAGTATATTCTGCGAATGTAAATCAAATAAGATTTTCAACTAAAATATAAGATTTATCAATAGTTCTGATGAAAGCAGCGAGGCAAGCTGCGACATACGATTTGAGAAGTTTTTTTTTTTTTTTTGTTTTTGATAATTATATCAGACATCTTTCATTTTTTTTAAATTGAAATGAAATTCATAATTGTTCCACTAGACATAAAGAGATTATTACAGTTGTCTTTTATAGCTATTTGTGTATATAAATATAAATAAACCTTACTTGAGAAAAAAACTACTTATTTCTATTAGGAATATACCAATGAAATAATTATGTATTTTGATACGACTAACTGGTTAATCGGTTGGAACGTCTTGCGGTTAACCGATTAGCAATTTTGTAATCGATTGTCATTCCTAGTATATTTATATAATACTATGAAATATTAAAAAATACCTTTCGTCGGAATTCCGAGCATTATTGAGTGTCCATTTCTTTTGGAAAGTTTGTGAACATTACATATTTACATTCCATATCTATTTTGCCTATAAAGTGTATGGAAAGCGACGGCATTCAAAACACCATAACACGGACGGGGGTCAAAGGGTTAAAGTATGCATTTTATTTTGATATCGCAGACATTGGACGCCGAAGAAGTGGAACTTCTGAAGCGGAAATCCAAATTCACACGCACATTGAACAGAAGCTGTTGCAATGGCTCTTCCATTAATTTTAACTTAACCGAAGGTTAATACAGAAATTTTGAAATATAAATTACATTGGTAGTCATGGCAAGAAGTTATATATATTTAAATCGAAGTAATTGTCATGGGATTTAAATACCGAACTCATGGCGTCATAACTTTCAAGGAAAATTCATTTTAAACAAGTATATGAAAAAGGAGTTTAAAAGTATATACCGTGAATAACATATGTGATCCACAGGGAATTAAAGATAAAGAATCCGGTACGCTGATTTATTTTTTTTTTTTCGTATAATGAAGGCAGATGATGTTTTTAAATCGCGATCAGCCTTTCCTCCGTCATTCTTCTGAACAAAGATGCCCAAGTTCAACACTACGACAGATTTTTTTGAAGCATTGTTTTTTTTTTTTTTTTTTTTTTTTTTTTTTTTTTTTTTGGTTATATCGAAATATTGTATTTTTTAGAACTTGGAAAATGCTGATAGCATCGTGTGGTTGGCATGAGATAAGATACAGAGGACATGTAGTGTGGGAGGAAAAAAAAAACTTGCTTCTTCTTGGTTGACGCAGGAAAAAAAATGTGTGTGAAGACAAAATAATGTGCAATTACCCCAGTGTGCATTATCTGTCCTGTAATACATCCTTATATCATGTATGCTGTGGATGTATGTCAAGTTAACCCACCAGGTGGCAGTTTTGTATCCATCAGCTGAAGTAGCACATTGGCCCCCAAAGGCAGAGAGGTTATTCTTCAAACCATCAACAGCATTGCTGGAGTCAAATGTATCACTTGAAAAAACTGGAGTGAAATATGGGTGAGATTGGTATGTTGGTTTATTTAAAGACAGATTTTCTGAAAAAGAAGAAATATATTTGTGTAAATATTGCCAGATTGTGATGAATTAATTATCATCTATTTAGTTCAAATGTTTAAAAATATTTGAACACAATTTCTTTTAATTTAATTAGGAGAAGTCGACATTTGCAGTTGGAATTTTTTTTTAATATCTTTTTTCGGCAGTCTTGTAAATAAGTAAGGCTCTCTGGATGAGGTTTTTGATTAATTGGTATTTTGTGAACTCTCCTTGGTGTTTTTAATGAAGTCACAAAATGCAAAGTGACGTCAACTGTAGTACTAAGTAAATGCTGATATCAAATAGAAATATGCCAATATTAAACGAAAAAAAAAAAGTTTTTAAATTCATACCCCATTTGTCCTTTGAGTTAAATCCTACCTAATATAATGTCATCAATGTTCGCGTTCGATAGACACATCCTTGCACGTTCACAAATTTTAACTTTATCCTTATTACTTTAGAAAAGTAGCAATTTTGTTGTTTATTAATGAAAAATATTAAAACCATAATGCAGAAATTTCAGAGTAGAAATGTAAAAAAGCAAAATCCTCTCACCAGTATTGTCAGTCCGTGCTCAGTGGTGTGTGCAGAGTTTAACAATTGAACACACCCGGTGAAAGGTAAACATTAACAACAACAGAGCTCGTTCCCTGTTTACAAAAACAGTTTACGTTTCACGGGTGTATTCAATTTGTTAAACTCTGAACACAACTACACAATACTGAGCACGGGCTGACAATATTTAAGTGAGTGGATTTTGCTTTCGCACATTTTTACTCTGAATTTCCTGGATTATAGATGTAATATTATTCATTAATACATTGCAAAATTGCTACTTTTCTTAAGTATTAAGGATAAAGTTAAACATTGTGAAAGTGCAAGGATGTGCTAATCAAACGCCACCCGAAATTCGTTAGTTTCAATAATTTCCAGATTAAATAAGTTTTTGATTTTATTTCGTGTGAAATGATATAGCAACATATAAGTTGTGATATTATACAGAAAATTTGAGAAAGTGTAAACTTCAAATCTGTGTCTATGCACCTTTAAATCACTAGCTATTATGTACTGTGAAATAATCAAATTATTATAATATATACATCCCAAGTCTGTCTATTGTATTTATAAATAAATCTCCTAGGATAATAACATGATTGATGTGTCCCATTTAATAAATATATTGTTTTAAATAATATTTTTGAGAGAGCTTTTAGGTGGAGTGTCATGCACATTACATATGCTACTTAAGAGAGTTTATGGTCGTAGCAGTGAGGTTTTCACCATGCTGCCAACACCTATCTTTACATTGTATCCTTACAAGGTGCATGGGGGTATACCACTAATGAAAGGTTAACTTTTTTTTTTACCATAATATAGAAGTCAGAGTGTCTAATGATTAAGAAGTCGTCCACAACTGTGTAATCATATTAAGCCTTTTCTTATTGATAAAGTGAAAAATTCAACACTACTCCGTTGTTTAATTATTTTCTAACGTAACGATCTGGGTATTAAAAATGCTGCAAATTTTATCAGATAAATAATAAGTCCACATCTACATTGTGTTAAACCTTATTAAAAGTTAAATTATTTATATATAAAATCAATGATTCTTTTTCCTGACTCGTGTTTACAACACAAATTTTAAAACACTTTCCAAGAAAGAAAAATACAGCCTGATTTTTATTCTTAAATTAAGTTATGGATAAAATTAATCAATAAACAAGTTTATAAACAACCGGATATTTCTTTTCCTCAGTGGAATTTTTAAGGCAGTTGCAGGAACAGTTTTAAGTTGATATGCATTGGCAAAAATATTTGATATAGCGAGACAAAGTTAGGAATTGTACAAAGGTTTAATAACGTAAACGATACTTAAACATAATGTAAACTTAAAAGCTACTTTGAAGATTGGATAAACGCTGCGGAAATGTAGCTTTAAGATGAAAATTGAGCACCTAAGAACTGCAGCTTAAATGTGGCTTTATGGAACTAACTTCTTTAAGCCACCATTAAGCCGTCTTTAAGCGATTGCTTAAAGATGGTATTTCGTCTTGTGAAGGGTCGTATAGAATCTTCAACGTTCTGCCTTTTTTCAACACACATTAAGTCAATTTAATTAGCCTTTCCTCCGTTGGTTGGAGATGAACCTTAATGGTACAACATCAATTTGATTTGATTTTTATAGCTTGCGGTATATTTCTTTAAAAAATGATGCAATACAATAAAGTTCACTTGCTTATTGTAGAAATCAGATAATGAATAATCTTTTTGTAGGACTAATAAAGATGCTCAGGTCGATAGAGAATATACTTACTTTCCAATCGTCAACTTCCCTTACTTATGCAGCAATATACCTTCATCACCTGCATACGGGGTATATATCTCTCAGTTGATTCGATACGCAAGAGCATGCTCTACGTATGTACAATTTCTAAAACGAGGTAAATTACTGACAAATAAGTTGATAAAACAAGAATATCAGCTGTCTCGTTTAAAGTCATCATTTCGTAAGTTCTATGGTCGATACAACGACCTTGTTAGCAAATACAATTTATCATTGAATCAAATGCTGACTGACGTTTTTCACACTAATTGTTAGGCCATTATTTACACACTGAATTGTCGACGAATTTTTCCGTTATTTCCCGATCATGACAAGGGGCACACGGCGGGTGTGACCGGTCGGCAGGGGATGCTCACTCTTCCATGGCACCTGATCCCACCTCTGATGTTTGGAGGTCCGTGTTTGCTCTGCTCCTATTTTGTATTGATTAATGGACTTTTGAGCTTGAATACTGTTCGTTATCTCCATATATTTTACTTCTCTCCGATAACCAATATTTCTTCTCTTGTTTTTGTTTCTATATTTTGCACTGTTCAGACCTTCACGTGCTTACAAGATAATTGAGATCTTCCTTTCATTACCTTGATTTTTCACTGTTATCATAAATATTAAAGGTACAGCTACTTCTATGTTGTCCACTTCTATTTTGATCTCAGTAATCATTGTTTTAAACTCATTTTATTTTTTGAAAGTGTCAGACAAACTGAGTATCGAATTTTAAATTTGTAAATAATGTTAAAATCTGCGAATGATAAAACGACATAATGATAAACGTTTATATATAAGTCGATAATCAATATTATAACATTAATATGAGCAGAAATAAAGAACTTACCGTAGCAAAATACAAAATCATTTGTAAATACTAGAACAGCGATTGTTACACCAGTGAACGTCATGTCGAAAACATATTTCAATTACGCATTACAGGGAAGTAAGACATACTGTTGGCAGAAGTGCACTTATTATTGACCGAATTACATGTCTAACGGCTAAACTTTTTGTTTTATTTAGGTAACCTTGGGAAATTTAGGACGATAAGGAAGTTAATTATAATCATTTATAAGACACACAAAGAAAGCTTGGAGAGATAAGCTTGTTTTTATGAAATCTGAGAGTCCTTAAATTACAAGAGTAGCAATTTTTACCGAATATCATTGTTCTTTCTGTACAAAATGATGAATGTACTGTGGATAAAAAATGTTTCCTATACAAATTGACGTGTAGGACAAACATTTCCTTGTGTAGAAATAAAGAAATTGTGCGAGAATGATCTCCCTACTCTTGCACTGATGTTTGTCATTGGTTTGATATATATGTTACACAATTTTCATCCTGCATACATATTGGAATAAACATAACTAGATGACAATAGATGCAAGTGTCTAAAAAGTTTAAAGATGAATTCAGAAATCAGCAACTAGAGTTTTTATGGTCGAAGATTTAGGCAGTATTCAATTGTCTTCTCAAATTAAACCTTTTCCCCCATTAGATATGAAATGCCATGCTTATCAAAGCACATAAAGCATTAAAATGAAGTTATATTTTATATAGATGCTCTCTTGATGTGTAGATGATTGATAAAAAAAAATATTTTAATCATGAAATGAATATAATTTTTTGTTTAAAACATGAGTATTTTCCAAACCAGAATGAAAAAAAAGAAAAACAAATGTTTACACCTTCCCCCCTCCCCTCCCAAACACAACATCACCCCCTACATGCACACATATCTTTAATCATAAATATCTTAATCGCCTTTCCAAATTTATTCTTTTGTTCTACATCTCAAGTTTTTATCGATGACATGTTAACTTTTTTCTTAAAGTTTAACGCTATATTTCAGTATACGGTGGTCATCATTGAAAATTATTATAATCTGAAGGTAATGTGTGTTCGCCGAACTCTTGATATATATTGCTTTCATCTTCACGTTCTTACAAGAAATGACTTAGAGGTCTAATTTCCCAGCTTACGTCTCATTATCATCTTTAAAATTATGAAAAGCGTGGGGGAGGGGGGGGGGTTCAAGTCGTTCGTTGTTCCTCCTACAGAGAGGAATGAAATGAGATAAAATGTATAAGCATGTATAATGTTTGATGAAAGTGAAGCTTATGATTATCAGTTCAGAATTTTGCCGTGTAAAATAGCCCTTCTTTTTCCATTAGCAATACATATAATCTTTGTTGAGCTATTGTTTGTTTGTTTGTTTGTATGTTGTTTAACGTCCCTCTCGAGAATTTTTCACTCATATGGAGACGCCACCACTTGCCGTTGGAGAGCTGCAAATTTTGTCCTATGCTCGGCACTTACGGCCATTGAGCAGTGAGGGATCTTTATCGTGCCAGCACCTATGCGACACGGGACCTCGGTTTATACGGTCTCATCTGAAAGGACCGGTCTCCACGTCCCACAGTGGGATTCGAACCCGCGAGGTAAGGATCAACCCCTTACTTCGCGACTCTAGAGCAGACGCTCTAACCACTGCGCCACGCGGACGACGTTGAGCTAATGATATAAGTATTGAACTAACAAAATATTTCTATCATCAATAAAAGGGTATAAGTATGTCTCTCATCAAACAAAGCTATCTCGGAGGGTAAAAAAAAATGCTTAAACACTTAATTGATATATAATTCATTAATATAAGTTATGTATAAAACTGACCTATTATAACAAATACAGGCTATCAAAAGCATGATTATTGTTATACGGGAGCGGAAAGCTTCGAGAACACTATTTAATTGTGATGGCCATTCCAGACCTACCATTTTCTCTTCAACCACAAAAAAATATAACAGATATAAATTATATAAAAGCAGAACTGGACAGTACTGAAATCTATATTGTATGCTATTTTAACTATGCAAAGACATTGCATCATGCCATTCACCGATTCATTCATCATTGAAATATTCTGTCACCAGGCTACAGTCATGTGATGTTCTTCCAAAAAAAAAGGTTGTTTTATCTTATTTTAACATCTATATTCAAAGAATCTTGTTTTACACTCAGTTAAAAAAAAAAATAATATACTTCCCCGGCCCTTTTAGAAAGGACCATGAATTTCATATTTGTTCCCGTAAATGCTATCTGTCAAAATAAGTTGGTGCAGACGTTCCAGTAAAGCTAAAAATCTGAAATGTTTGCCAACGACGCACAATTTACGACGAAGGACAAAATCAGATAGAAATAGCCCACCAGAGTGACCCAAAGAAACTTGAAAACGAAAAAATAATAATAATAGCAGTTTTATTGTCTTTGTTGCCATCTATTTTACAATCAATGAAATCAACTTATTTTCTTATATCATAGCTTGAACCAAGTTTTGTATATATGTATAAACAATTATTTTTAAATCTTAATCAATATTTAGGTAACATTTTTAATATAAGAATATATACGAGTGTTGATCAAAAGTTCGTGGAATTTCCTGATCTCTTATTAATTTATTAGTGGAAGTGACTGAAAATCACAGATGAACTTTTGACGCTTGTTGAATTTTCTTTTAACAAAATATTTTAGATATTCCTGATAAGAACATTTTGGCAGTTGCAAAGGAAACGTATGTTTGAAATTATGGGAAAGACACACCAAAGTCGATAAAATTAAGTAGCAACTGTTCCTTCGTCAAGTGAAGTGAAAGTTGAGGGTTCTTCGGATGAAACTTTATATACCGAAGCCCCGTGTCACGGCATGCGTTGGCACGATAAAGATCACTCACTGCTAATGGCCCGGAGTGCCGAGTAAAGATATAAATTTTAACCCCTTCACCGGTATGTGGTGACGTCTCTATATGAGTGAACAATTCTCGAATGGGACGTAAAATAAACATACAATCAATCAATCAATCGTTCATTTATCATTTCAATTAAAAATACTCACTTTAAGAAAAAAAGCACTAGGTGGCATGTGAAACAAAAATGATGCCATTATAACGATTGTTCGACCTCTTTTTAATTTGTATTTGAGAGTTTCGTCGATTTTACTGGATATTTTAGTTTTTCTATTGATGATTTGCTGTTCATCATAAAATCGTTAGTCAACGATTGCTGAAATTTTCGGAAACACTTCGACTTAAACGCATATGCAAGTGATACAGGCAAACAATTGGTTTTCAAGTGGTGTAAGAAAATGAAGGAAAAGAAAGCTTCCGTGGAGGATGATGAAAGACGTGGCCACCTATTAGAGAGCTGTTTTTTTTGTTCGTAGTCAACATACTGCGCTTCACATTGTTACTGTAATCAGAACTTCATATACGGAAAGTTTTTTTTTTTTTTTTCCAAATGATCGTAATATAAAGGGAGTGGGAGCGATATTGGTAATCAGTCTTTTTTCAGGAGCAGAAATGGAGAAAAGAATGCAGTGTTCTGTAGAATTTCTAAGTCAATTTGAACGTGAGGTGAGATGCTCCTAGACCGTGACTTGACATACCTAACGACGTCACGTCGAAGTCTCCCCCGAATTTTACAATTGTCTATGTTAAGAAAGCTCGTTTGACCATAATGGTAATTGGAACGTGGTGAAATTTTCCAGCATTGTTGAATAATTGCTCTATTTTATAAATATGTTTATTCTCTGCTTCAATCACATCACGATAACATTTTAGAAATTCTAAGAACCTTTGGATCAACCCTCGTATATCAATGTACATGGATATATATGATGGAATTTGACTCCTAAAACTGCTTTCGCAGTACAGTTAAGGTGCGCAATGGAAATATCGGCGATTTTTTATGTTACAAAATATATTCTTTTTCAGGATGGTGATTCTTTTTTGTACTTTACTAATATCGGACAAATGAAGTTATGGTTGTTAACTACATATTGAGGACAAATAAATTTTCTATCTAGACTTGTCACGTGATGTGGCGGTCACATGATTTTTGCACATATACTTGCAGTATTGAGGTCACCTATAAATTTCAATAGTGCAAGTGCATAACCAAGTTAAAATTCGAAATTTAATTTTTAAATAGTTTCAACACCCATTGTAGTTTGTGAAAAGTGCTGCGATCCTATATAGATTCTACTATTTCATTGTTAAAATCATATTTGTATATTTTTGCTGATCAGCTTCATTAAATATAGAAATAATTAATTCAGTTTCAAGATTTCAACAGGATCGCAGCACTTTTCAAATAGCTTAATACTTCTAGAGTTTATGATTAAAAACTTGTCATGATCTATTGAGGGTATGCCCTTGCACTAGACGAATTTATTAAGACCCTTAGGTTATCCTCCAATGTACCTGCATACAAATATATGTTAGTATCCGTTAAATAGGAAATGTACGGAAAATATATGAACAAAATCATTAAGAGGACATTGTATCTAAATTAATGGCCTCTTAAAAATCTGAAAATAATATTTTATATAATTATAAAATACATTTCTTCGTTGTGAAAATATTACTTGATCCGCCTCTCACTGCATACAAACTGCGTGAAGATATACAGAATGACGTCATATCGACAAGTGCTGTGCGATCAGTGACTTGTTATGGGGGAATTAACTAACAACAAAAACGCATGTTATAGTAAGTTTTGATGTAGTTTAATTATCTCATACAGTTTAAAATCGCAAATCACTTCATTTTTTGGTATTTGTAAGGATTGATAGTTTCGTGTGATGTCATAGTTAATATTTCCCCTAAAAATTAGACACCGCCTCCTTTTTGTAGTCTTAACTGTGCTGCGTTTTCAGCAATTTTCAAACATATTCAAACATTTTCATATACTTTTAAGTTTGTAACTGTTGCACAGTACAAGATGTTGAATATCTTTAATACCTGATTTAGGCAGCAATTGTGCACAATAAGACAGGCATAATAAATTAAAATGCAAAAACGACATGCTTTATCTTTTTACAAGGGAAACAAGATTTTGTCAGAAATAGTAATAAATTTTTAACAAATATTTTCGTTTTATTATTATCTTTAGTTTACAGATATATGAAAAATTGGAGAATAATTAATTGATAATGATGATGATGATGATGATACTCATGATGACAAAAGCAGTTATTATTATTATTATCACTATTACATTTACAGTCGATAACAATAAAATAGTATGTCTATGTCTTTAAATAGTAAACTACACATTCATTGGTTAGAATATATGTTTTCAGTGCCTCTCTGTATGTGGTCATTCACAGCCTTGATGACCAATCTGTATTCTTCCTGAAAACAAACACGTTTAAATACTCAATTGTAAACAAAAATATTTTGGTGTTTTTCACATATTGGCTGTTGTGTTCGCAGCACTATTTAGGTTACTATGAAGAGATCAAAGGAATATAGATATGTACAAATAGATATCTGTTGAACTGAATTTATTTTTGTAAAGCTATTATATTATCATATGACTTAAATATTAACTGAAAAGGTATAATATATCCAACTTTGTATTGAATTTGGTTGGGTCACGTCATTTGACAGTCACGTAATAAATGCATATAATGTGTACTGTATGGAGGTCACAAAAAAAGTTCAATATCGAAAGCGCATACCCTTGTTAAAATTTAGGATCAAAGCAATAAATTGTTCTATAATCTTGTTGATTCTGAAAAGTGCTATTGCTTTAAAGAGAATTCACATTTTATTAGTTAAATTTGGCTCAAGTTGAAATATACATGTATATGACCTTTACCAAGTATTTTATGTATCTATTAAATGATTCTTCTGATTTCAGGAAAGCAGCAACACTTTAAAATTGAGGAAAATATCCATTATGTGCATTAAGAAAATGATCAAGACCTACTGAGTGTATGCATGTACCCTTGCAAAAAAACGCTTTAATGTGCTACCTCGATGTTAAACATGTAATTGCAGTACACATCAACACGGTAATATTTGTTCAATACATTGTCTCGATAGATATTAAATAATGGCACTAAACATAAGTTTTACACTGGTGTATATGGCCTATTTTACATCTATAAATTATATTCTGATAATGATAAAATGAATTTTTTGCTGTGAAAAAAAGAATTATTGATAATTGATAATCCTCTCATTGCACATAAAATCCGTAAAAATACCATGATAATGCCAAGTCAACATTGCATTTCGATCTTTGACTTGTTTATACATTACTGTGTGGAATTAAAATGAATGGAATAGTAAGTTTTAATTTCGATGTAGCTCACTAATCAGTATAAAGTCGCAAATTATTTCCTTTTCTGTGATTTTGAGGGATCGCATTTTTTGTGATGTTGCAGTAGATATATCTTGTATAAACAGGGTTCCGCCCCCTTTTTGCATACTAAACATTGGTGCATCATTTTCAAAGTCATCAGCGTTTGCTTTCTGAATTGATATTGATTTATATGACTTCTAAATATTGATTCATCCGAAATAATTCTTAGAAATTTTTTACAGGATAAATGTAAATATCATTTTTTAAAAACATAATTGTAATAAATTGGTCCAAACACAATAAAATGATTTTTAAATTTCTGCTTTAAGGATAAGTTCACAATTAATATGTTCGAAAAAAAAGGAAAATGTGTTTTTATCTCATCTTATAAATAAAATTCTATTTCAAAATTGCAAACTAATTGACAATCATATGCTAACGATTTACAAGTGTTCTGCCTTTGTACTACTTCGTGCGTGTATATAAATCGAACACATGTATTTCACGTTAATTTTCATTGCTTATGTAAGAAAATACACGATACTTTCATTATGACTTACTAGACTGGAACAGAATTCAGGTCTCCGAACTTGCAGTTGTCTGACAGAAGTAAAAACATCCAAGTTTCCATCCATATTAATTTGTTGGATCACATTATGAACTGCACAAAACGCACCGCAAAGTGAAGCACCGTCACTAGAAGACAAGCAACATTCTACTTAAAAAAAGATAGCTCAACAATTTATATATATATATATAAAATACTAAATCTTCTATGTTAATGAAAATGCGTGTTACTGTATAGATTGAATTAAGGAAAAAAATGAGCTTGCTTTCATTTACTTAGCACTGAAAATCATACATTATACATTTACTGACTGGCTTCGAGGGCAACATGAGTTTTGTAGGACCCAAGAACCAAACCTGATGCCGTCAGGCCGAAGGCAAACAGTTTGGTTCGAGGGGTCGACAAAACGCACTTTTCACGAAAACACAGTCAATAAATGTTTTGTTATACCTTTTATTTATTTATTTTATTATCATTTTTCTTTTTGACATACATGTAAATCGAACACCAACGAATGCAAATGAGATTTAGCCGACCCCGCTCAATATGTGACGTAAGCGGTCGAACGTCTCATTTACAGGTCCAATATCTCACTCCGCGGACAAACATTTATTGTGTTATGCTCGCTCAGTAAAACATTGGAAATATTAGACTTTTATTAGTATTGATTTATATAGGAACAAAAAAAAAAAAAAAAAAGATTTCTCATTAAAATTTCTCAACAGCTGGATAGAATTGCGTTAACAAAGTCCATTTGTATAATTATATATTTGTATAATAAATAACATACCTGCTGACAACAATGACAGGATTTTCTTTCTTCACACTAACAGCAACAGAAACCAGACTACGAAGCATAGATGTATCCAGAGGAGTTCCGGATACTTTGATGATGTTCCTTGGCTCTACAACTGTCACTGAATGAGACTTCTTACTCTACAGAAAAAAAAAATAATTTTACGTTTACTTCTATTTCTTTTCTTGAAAATTCAAATTTTGAACAAATCAAATTTAAAAAAAGAAACGAAAAAAAAATGAAACGGTAAAAAAAAAAAAAAAACATGTTAAATTACATTTTTCTTCCGGATGTAAATGATAGAGCTGCTGACGTCAGTTTCCGTTCTTGATTGTAATTGGATACTGAATGGAGAGATTGTGGAGGAGGATTGACCAGGAAACCACACCTGACTCTACAGAAAAAAAAGAATTTTTTTTTTTTATATATAAACATAGAAATGGCACTGACTGTACAATTATTATATACTTGATTATTTATAGATTTTCACTTTTTTTTAATTTTGTATTTAGCCCCATTTATTTATTTATTTTTGGTCTGGTTTCGTTTGGAACGGGAACATTTTTTTCATATATGTAATGAAGCCTAAAACATGTAGAAAACAGACCTATACTAATCACTAATCAAATCATTTGCTTATTAAAGGTCAATAATTAAGAAATGTACTCTTCAGTTGAAGTATTATACTTTTATGCAATAGTGTGACCTCCTGTGATTTAAATGGGGTACAGACAGACAAACCTGCAAATTTTAATCATGTTGGCGGAGGCATAAATTCCAGTACCTAAGGTTTCAGCTATATATAGAGATTATTTAGAGACCGAAACGGCTCTGTGTCGAAGATACACATTTTGGGTGAACAGAGACTTATCACTAGTCCCCAACCCCATTTTTAAAATCTACAGTAGAGAATCTGTCCGGTTCTAAAAATTATTTGAGATCCAATTGAATCAAAATTAGTACCTCCCACTTTTAGCTTTGCAATATCTGCAGGGTTCTTCGGACAAGGTAAGATTAAGTAAGATTTGTTTTGACAAAGAGGTATTTCTTGTAGTTTTAAAACACGAAAACAGTAATGTTAAAACAGTAGAAAGTTGACTTTAATGAGTTTGAAAAAAAAATCAATTAAGGGATGATGCAACCGGGAACCATAAGCTTTTCCTTTTGAAGGGGACTAAAAATAAGCTTTGCACGGATAACAAACAGGTTTTCAGGAATTTAATTAACACAGCTTTAACTGTTTTTTTTTCCTTTTCGAAGGAATCGAGATAAATTCCGAGCGAGTGTTTTTTTTTTTTTAAAGTTATTGAGAAACTTGACATTTTAATTCAGTTTAATCCTAACTGTATAATTAAAAAAAAGTCAATCGTTACTATTAAAAGTGTTTTTGATATTATAAATCAAATTTATTTTTAGACTTATCATCTGTATTCTGATAAAGGAATGGTTGACTAACACCACACGATATATAGGGCTATTACAGAACGGAAAATACCCTGTGTACAGTGGTCCAATTTTGTATTACTAACACAGAACTGCAAACTTAAAGGAGAAATGCCACGATTGTGTCACAATTAACACTTCAAAATGTACATACCGATTCAATTTCATTTAGTGGATCCATACAGATAACAGTGTCAGATTCATAATCATTTAGCAGCCGCAGGAAGTCAACAGCGTCCTCTGTTGATGGATACTGCGTCACTATAAACGCTCTACTGTTGGTGAATGACTAGGGAAAATTCATAAAAATAATGTTTTTTTTCTTCTTAAATGATGAGAATAGAAGAAATAAAACAAACTTGATCATGCAAAATTTGATGATTTATTGGAAAAAACGAAATCTTTTTCCTCAGCCTATTAGTGTATATATCACAATTAATTTTGTCTGTAAACATTCTCAAGTTGAACAAAATAAAATAAGTAATGAATATGTTCTATAAAGTGGGTTATCATTTCTTACCGGTACGTATATGGCATTAATAAAACTTCCTCGATTTGGGACTGTGGTTGAAAGATGAACACTGTATTTATCCACTATTCCAGAAAGAAATGAACAAAATATTATTTGACCTCCAAAAAAAAAAAAACATGATGTGGATTTTCAAGCTTGTTTTTTCAATGAATATTGTTTACTGAGAATTTTACTTTTGTTTATATGTAAAACGCTATTGAAATGTACATTATATAGAATTACACAGTGTACATAATTTTTTTTTCAAAAACAGGTGGTAGAGTCTGGGTGTTTTTTTTTTTTTTTTTCTAAACAAAGAGATTCAGATTAAACATGGGAAAATAAATACTTACAAGGCAATGCACCTTTGAAATGTTCATCCTTACACATTTTTTTGGCAAACTTAAAGTCAGTGTCGGTGTATACAGGTCTTATTTTCATCAAGAGCTTAATACGCAAAGAAATGATAATAATTATTAGCATGTAAACGATAAAACACGAAATTCGATCTTTCATGAATTAAAAAATATCATTCAAAAAAGGTAAGGTTATGTATGAGGTTATCAATTAAGTTGAAAATGCGCAGGAAAGAAACTAAAAACCTAAATATTTGATATAACACATCTCCACTCGATCTAAAAAAGAACAGCTGAATTTGAGAAAAAAAAAAAAATACGCATAATGGTTTTTCACCAGGATTTTAAAGAATGCCTAAAACTACTTGTATTTTGTTTAAAGTGTACAAAAGGAAGCTGGATTGTAATCTTTAAGGACAGAACTAAATTAGGATGATTATCTTCATATCTGTGTATCAGATGACCTGTATTTTATCTATTGAAAAAAAAATATCCTAAGTATTTGTCATACTAAATATTGTTTCTAACACCCATACACGCTAAAATTTATTGATCATTCCAGATGAAAACTTTTCTTGCTGCAAAATCATAATCGACAATACATTTTAACCATATTTTAACCATATATTAATACTACATGTTTCAGGGAAATAGATGTTTTCTCCGTGTGCTTTCCATAGCCATTTCTTCTCACATGATTCTGTGTCAGATCAATTTATTCATTGGTCACTTTATTATCATTTTTTTACCTGAAATTCTTTTCGTAATGTACTTTGATTGGCTGGTTCATCAGTAATCATGGGCCCGGCTTTTTTTGTAAAGTCTTCGATGGTGCTGATGTTAACCGGCGACTTAAATATTTCATTCAACGCAAGAAAAATCACCATGTACTGTTCCTGATTTGAAGGGAAAAAATTAATTTGATAAAAGTGGATTGATATAAAATAAGGAATCTCTCTTCTCTTCTTGGAATTAAAGAAAAAACGAAAAGGAAGAAACATATGTCCTCACAGTTGAACCTTGGTTTGAAATGTTTTGTAACTGGCGTTGGAATTTATTACACCTATGGGACAGAAATTCGTTTCATATTTTCAGGGGTTCGAATACGACTGAATATGTCAAAAACGATGTTGCATGTTGAATAAGTGATATAAAATTAATATGGAAATTTAATATACTATTTTTTTTCCTTATTACAATATCTTTAATTTTCCCTTCGTCGTTTTCTTTTCGTACTGGAGTGCCATAGGCGTGAAATAATAATTTAACGGTCGAAACGTCACGGTGTAGCAATTGAAAACGAAGTTTAACAGCAATATATTTGGAGAATTTTTTTTCAATCTTAATCTCTATCAGGATGATTTATTTACTCTATCTTAAAACTCACCAGGGCGTTTTTTTTTTTTACATCACTCTTCCTGAGGGGAAGGCAAATCGAGTTTTACCACACATGTGATATTCTTTTACACCGTGACAAAATATCATTTTGAATTTCTTCCATATAGTGACAAAAATGTTACTTTTATTCAATAAATGTAGCAGTGATTAACTGTTCAAATTTTAGCAAAATATTCAAATAAAGTCAATGAATCAATTAATGAAATCAATATTTAAACAAACGTTCACATAAACAAAAAAATAGAGACAAAAATAAAGATTCCACTGTATATTATGTGTTAAGAAGAAAAAAAAACATACGTAGGTTTGCACCATGTTCATTCTGTTTTCCCTCATTTTCTTTACATACTCGGCTACGTTGACTTTCTTTCTCTTTCGCCCTTTTCGTTCCAAAGTGTCCAACGCTATATATGTCCCCGTTCTTCCTATCCCCGCACTGTAATGATGATAAAAGAAATAACACAGTGACTTATGATTAGGTCCAAAACATCGAAATATGCTGAGATATTTCTTTAAGTGACATCAAGTCGATATCCACTATTACCACTAAACTGTATTTGCAAAAATGTACCTGCAATGAACAATTGTTGGGGAGTTATTCTGATTGGTTCCTGTTCTCGTGACGTGATCAAGGAAGACAATAAGAAAAAGGGGATCAGGGGTTCCATGGTCTGGCCAAGCTGTATAATGGTACTGAGTCACCGTTCGTGACTCCTTTGACTGAAGTAATGAATGAGATGAGATTGTTTTTTGAAAAAAAGGGGGAAAAATACAAAAAGAGATTGATAAATTGATTGCAACATTAAGTAAAAACCCGAAAAAATAAGAATATTTGTCACCGTTAACTATGTAAATTCTGATATTTATTTATGTTCGCAGCACTGTTAAGGCTTACTTCGAAGAAATCAACAGAATATAAACGTGCATAAATACATACCTTTTTAAAATGAATTTTAATTTTGTAAAGGTACTATATTATCTTATGACTTTAACATTCTTTGAAATAACATTGTATATCCCGTTCTGTACTGAATTTGGTTTGGTCACGTTATTTGATAGTCACGTGATAAATGCATATAATGTGTACTGTATGTAGGTCACAAACAAATTTCAATATCGCAAGGGCATACCCTAGTTAAAATTAAAAATTAAAGTAATATATTGTTTCTACATAACTTGTAGTTTATGGAAAGTGCTGCTGCTTCAAATAGAATTCGCATTTTATTAGTTTAAATTTCAAGTTATCTTGTTAATGTCGAAATATGTGTGACCTTTACCAAGTATTTTATGTATTTATTAAGTTATGCTATCGATTTCAAGAAAGCAGCAGCACTTTTCAAGTTAAGGAATATGTCCATTATGTGTATTCAAAAAGTGGTCAAGATCTATTAAGTGTATGCCCTTGCGAAAAGGCGATTTAATGAGGCACCTCGGCGTGAAAGATGCACACCCTGTAGACAAAAACACGGTAGAATTAATTCAATACATTCTCTTGATATTTTTAAAATAATGACACTAAACAAACGTTTCAGATCTGTATTAATAATCTACCTAAGATTTTCAAATAATATTCTGTTTAATAATAAAATGCATTTTTCACTGTGAAAAAATTACATGATCCGCCTCTCACTGCACATAAAATGCGTCAAACTTTACCATGATGACGTCATGTCAACAAGTGCATTGCGATCAGTGACTTGTTTATATCTTGTTGTGCGGGATTTAACTAGCGACAAAAATGAATGCAGTGGTAAGTTTTGATGTAGTTCATTACTCTTATGTAGCTTAGATTCGCAAATTATTTCACTTTCTGTTATTGTGAGGAATCGCTATATTTGTGTGATGTCACAGTAAACTTTTCCCGTATAAATTAGGCCCCGCCCCCTTTATGCAGCCTTAACAGAGCTGCGTTGACCTTTGAGTTTTCTGTTTAAGCTTACCTCATTGTGCCTAGCAGTCATCTTTCGAACAATGTAGAAGGCATACTCTTTTTCCTCTGTCAATTTTACCGACACAGTGTCGTAATTACGGCTCTTATTTACATCTGGCCAATATTGATGACATTTGACCTAACAAAAAAGTATGAATACAACATTAAAATACTTCTGGCTTTGCTTTGACACACGTGTTGCTTTATTATGATCTCATTGGAATCTTGACTGACACGAAATAGAAAAGAATTAAGGAGTAAAGCAAATATCTTTTGGCTTTAAAATATATATGAGAGACCTCAGACTTCTTACAAAGTATACATACCTTAGTTCCTTCTTTCAGATTTGTCAACATGACAATAGAAAATACATTTTCTTGCCAAATCATTTCCCAAAAATCGTCCAGTGTATTCTGCTTAGGTCCTACACGAGAAATAAAAACAAAAGCAACAACTGCAACAATTGCGTGAAAAAAAATATTCCTTTAATGGAGGAGGATCCAATTCAATGCACATTGATGCTCTATAATTGTCCAATATTTACTCAAAATTATTCTGTAACTTTAATTCAATTGTTTTAATAACATCTGTTTGAGCTTTATCTGGAACAAAACAAAAAAATACCCCCCCCCCAAAAAAAAAAATAAATAAATAAATAAATAAACAAAAAAAAAAAACACCCCAAAAATGATTAAATTTAAAACTGATAAATATAACATGTGACTTTTGAAGCATATGTACCTTGTGCTGCGATATACTCTCTTTCTCTATCTGCACCCTATAAAATACGAATCAAATGTTATACATGTCTTTGAAAGGCACAGACAACGGATTATGAAAATGGTTTTTAAAGGGAAGATTTTGACTCAGAAAAAATATATAGATTCGTTCATTGAAAGGGAGTTTATTCGTAAAATTCTATCATTGGTATTATATCATATCACTATTGAAACCTAACTGTATAAGTGGCAGATGTGGTTACCTCAATATAGTTTGCATTGATGTAGTCGGATCCTGATTCTGTTCTCAATATAACTCTGGAATGGTCATCTATAATGAAGGAAAGAGTTACATCAGTATTCTAATATCGTTTGTAACTATAAGAAAAAAAAAAAAGATATCTATATCACTTCAAACAGGTTTAGACTTCAAACATCCATAGGTTCGAAGACCGACAGCAAGGCCAAAACCCCAAAAGATTTATGTGTCAGTTACACTATGAGGTTACAGTTTACATATATCATGTCCAAAAAAAATCATCTATATCGTATTCTTTCGAATATGTTTCTTATCAGTTTTGAATTGCTATGTAGGATCAAAAAGATTAAATTGCTTATACCCTGTGCACAATTCAGCATAAACTTGATAGAATACTACATGGCTAGAGTGTTTGCATAAAGTACTGTAGCTATGCGTTTGCACAGAAATCCAAATTTTCTTTTCTTGTATATAATCGGTAATTGTTGATCACCCTATTAAAATGAACAACAAATTTCAAGGGTCCAGCTTTGAAGGGGCTATTGGATGTTCTATTCACAGCAACTGCACGCCCGTTAGTCTACTTTTCGATTTTTTTTCTCTTTCTTATGATTTTTGCATTCGTTTTACTCTGTATCTATTTATTTGTTTAATGATGAAATCATAACGCTTACTCTTCTTTGGATGGTTATTTTTTTCTTTTTAATAGGCCTCATATTCTGCTCACACGAGCCTCAAACAGCCGCTTAAACGACATTTGCCAAAATATTGCTTTGGTATTCTTTTATTAATCACTGGTCGTCTGCTAGAATTATCTCGTGATTTGTGACTGAGTTATTAATTATATAACATCATTAGAAACATTATATTATAAAAAAAACAAAACAAAAAAACAAAACAAACTTGTAAGCAAGTTTAAAAATTAGTGGCATTTGCGCTTGTGATTACTTTTCATTTTTTATCTTCTAGTGTGTGACAGCTACTTGATACTTTGATGGATTGATTGATTGATTTTTGTTTTACGTCCTATTCAAGAATTTTTCACTCATATAGGGACGTCACGTTATTCCAAAAAAAGGGCTTAAAATTTAGACTTTTACTCGGCACTCAGCGTTATTTAGCTGTAAGGGTTTTCTATCGTGCCAACGCCTGAATTGAAAGGGGCCCTCGGTTTTTAAAATCTCACCCGAAAGATTCGAAAGACCTGCAATTTTCACTTCACAGTGCCAAGCGCTTTGCGAAGGAACGGTTGCTATCTATTCTTTATCGACATAGGGCAGTCGCGGCCGTGATTCGAACACACGTTCTTCCGATCACATAGCGGGCGCTCTACCGACTCAGCTACCGTGATGGTAGATACTTACATGGAAATGTGGTTTTGTATCGGTTTTTAACCATATTCTCCTCTTTCTTTCCAGCGTCACATTGGTATAGTTCCCCGTAAGGTAATGTCTGCGGTGAATAGAAATCACACCGTTCATACACAACAACTAAATTCATATATAAATTGTAAATGATAATTTATAATGGCAATGAATGGTGTAAAATTTAAGATATTTTGAAGGTTGTGATTTTTTTTAATCCTGATCAACTTTATCATAAGTAATTATTATTCAACAAACATTCCCCTTTCATGCTTACAGCATATTCTCTCTGAAACCCGTCGTCCTTATCCTTTCTTTTTTCAGCTATAACAGATTCTAACTGATTTAGAGGTATATCTCGAATTGTCGTTTCGTTTGCGTAAAAGTCTCCATAAGGATTTTCCGAGTGAATCAACTCATCTTCATCGACATCAGCAACATCACTTTTCGTCTTGTGTTTGGAATTTTTGCGATTTCCACTATCTCTGTGTTTACTTCTTTGGTGTTTGGTTGAGGACTGGGATTTTGAATCAGTAACAGTAACATCTGCCTCATTAGCACCTTCTATGGCTGAAATTAGACAGAAGACTTCATGGTCTTGTTTTATCGTGAAAAATATACAGAAAGCAAAAGCGGAAAGAATATAGAATTTTGTAAGAATATAGACACTTACAAAATTTAGGTCTTTGAATTTGACCTCTCCTACTTTCCTGTAGACTGCGCCTGCAGTTTGAAAAAAAGTTAAAATTCAAAAACATAGAGGTCTATGATTTTAGATTTTTTTTTATTTAAATATTTCTCATTCCTGCACATGACAAAATATTCTCGTTCTTTTAAATTAAAGAATGCAATAGATAGATAACATATTTTATAAATTCAGGTATTAAACAAATGGAATAAATAAAAATAACCCTTTTAAGACCAGAATCAAAATTGCTACAGCGATGCAGGCAAACACAAGTCCAGAGATCCCTCCGATGACTGAACCAAAGGCACTAATTACATAAGTATCTGTGGTGCGCTGCAAAATTTGTTTAATACATTTATACAATCCTAAACAGTTATTAAAAGAATATTATAAATACATCTTTTTTTTTCCTTTTTTTCTTCTCCATGTACAGAGAAAAAATATACTTTAAGAGGGGACCAAAGTCTATAGTTCTGATCCATTTTATGTAGATGTATAAATTGCATTTTTTAGTAGATGAAATATACAAGTACCTTTTAACTTCTCTTTCTATTCTATCAAATATCCAGCAAAAAAAAAAAAAAAAGAAAAAAAAAGATAAATAAATCTAAATTCCAGCATAACTTGAGAGAAAAAACATATTACCTTTATCATTGGACAATATCCTGTGACAGGGTCACACGTATTATTTATACAACTGTTGCTACAGTTATCCAAGCAGTCAAATCCATAAGTGTCCGAACTACAACCTGAAAATATTACCATAAGAATTAAAGAGTTAAGACCTGATGAGATAACATGGGTAGCTTCGTCGAAGACCATTTGATGAACTTTTAACTAGTTTCCCAATATTCAACTTTTTTTATAACCACAGATAAATATACATGTGTATTGCATATATCAACTACTTTTGCCCACTGAAAGACACTTTTGTTAAAACAATAGCTGACCAACTTTAATTTCTGAACTGCACATTGCTTTAAGAATCTAAAAGAAATGCTTGAAATTGCATCGATATATATTTCACTTCTAAATTTCCCTCCAATTTTCTAGTTTTCATGCATTTACAAAAGGTATATTTTCATCAAATAATATGTGAGTGTGTCAATGACTTTTCAGATTGTAGATACAGCAAACGACAATTAAATGACAAAAATGATGATCCGACAAAAATTGATATTTGGGAGGAAAAAAAATGTCACAATCAATATTTTTGCGTAATTTGAAAAAGAAAATCAATGAAAGTTATATCAGGAGGATATGCTTACGCTTAGTGCAGTTAATTTCTTTGAATCCTTTTGCGCATCCATTCAGGCAGCTACCATTGATGTGATGGCATTTTGATGCGCCTCGACAAAAGCCACACGAGTGACTACAGTTCAATCCATACATACTACCTGCGCATTCTAATTTAAAAAAAGACACAGTTCATATAATCTCTAGAACATTTTCTTTTTTTTCTTTTCATTTTCTTATTGTGTTAACATTATCATTTCCATTTAGCATCTTAACAATAACGCAAACATATAAAAATTGTAAGTTGCTTATCTGTGCATTTCAAATTCTAGAAACTTTTTTTTTTATCTTTAATGACATCTGTATATCTAACCCATTATTGCTTACTTGATCTAGGACATATCTGAAATTAAACTCATTAAATAAATTTCTACAGTAAGGGATAACAATATGCTCGTAAAATCTGGAACAAAGGAAGATCTGATAATATATACAGATATGCTACAACATTATTGATAGCCTTGGTCCCTATCGTCTAATTTCTTATGGAACATTTTTTTATATAGATTCTCATGTTTTATTGTATTCCTAGTCCTAATTGTCTAGAGATTAAAATAATAATCGAACTAATAGTTATAAATACATCAGGGATATTTTAACATCCAATGCAAACCAAATGCAGCAATTGTCATGGCAATTCTCGCATCTAGTTGAAATGTTTTGATTAACACGAAACACATCAAAACTATCCTGTACATAGTTTCAAGTCTTTTGCGAGGATGAATGCAAACCATGGGGAAAAGTTCGAATACATAATTACTGTCAATGCAATGAAGTCCTTCCCAACCAGGCTGGCATCCTCCTTCGCATTCGCCTGTTGTTTTCATGCATCTATTGGGTACCCCACAGTTGACGTTACAGTTCTGGTTACACTTATTGCCAAAAGTTCCAGTAGAACATTCTGTGAAAAAATAGAGTGCATTTTGATCATTTTATTTTTTTTTTATTCTGAAGCAATGTTTAGAGGAAAGTTTAAAAGAAATTTTAGCATCAGAACAACTGATATTAATTTAGATGAATATTAACGTTTAAGCTAACCAATTTTACAAAGTTCTCCTTTATATCCAGCATCACATCCTTCTGAACATGACCCATTGATGTGATGACATTGTATGTAATTAAGACATGATCCACATCTCGCAGTACAATTCTGTCCATACATCCTTCCATCACAAGCTAAAGGTAAATATATATATATATATATATATATATATATATATATATATATATATATATATATATATATATATATATATATATATATATATATATATATATATATATATATATATATATATATATATTTGTTACCTTTATAAAATGTTCGTGCGAGTTTTAAGTAGTTTCAGATTCAGATGCAGATGTTCATTTTTTTTTTCGAGATTTTTGTCAAAAACCTAGCATACGAAATAAAAAAAAGATGGTACAATTTGAATGATACCTTCTATTACTCTAACGATATCATATCCCAACAAAACACCCAGTGAATCATCTTTTCTTTTTTTATTCAACCAAATTGCATTTACTTGGAAATAATAAGAAAAATGAAAGAATAGTTTTAAACATCTGTAATATTGATAAAAAGACATACCCTCATTGCAAGTTGCTCCTTTCCAACCTACGTGACATGGAGACGTACATTGACCTGTAAATCGGTCACATTTATCACAGTTTCGACATCTATCAGAACAATTCTTGCCATGCCAACCGACAGGACAGGCTGAGAAAAATCAGAGATTAAACTAAACATGATATTCTGTTATACTCTTACATGTATATATGCTGTAAACGTTTAGGCAGATCGCGATCCCTTAATATGGATTTTGTTTTGTTTGTTATCATTGAAATAAATATGGATTGGAGTGAAATAGAGTATCAAAAACAAAAATCGAAGTTTATCTATTTATTGGAATTTGTTTTCTAGAAATTATGAAAAAATATTACATGAATTAATTGACCTAGGTAAAGGATATATATCATTCAGGGTTTTTTTTTTAATTGGCCATAAAGGTTTGTACTAATAAAAAATGATCGAACTTACGTGTTTTGCATTTATTTCCATAAACCCCAAAGTCACATCCATTTGCGCATCTACCGTTGATATGATGACATGTCATCCCATCGCTACAATTACCACATTTTTTCTTGCAAGCTTCTCCATAGGATTTATAACTACAGTCTGACGTAACAAAATTTACATTTATTTTGACACATTCATATTGCCTTTCATCCACATTCAGGTTATGGACAATTGAAATGATGAATCATCGTCTAAAAATATCACTCTTCTTTTTCCCATGAGACAACCTATAACCTCTCAGCTTTTAGAAATTTATATACATTATAAACCATACAAAATTCTGATTTTTAAGAATCTTCAATATTTACATCAGTATCCTAAGATATGAAATATCATTTGAATTGATGGTTTCAAATGTGACTTGATTCTGTTTACTTACGCAATTCACACTGATGTCCCTGGTACCCAGGTTTACACCCCTGACAAGCACCTGTCTTTATATGACAATAACGACAGTCTGTATCTGGACAGGGTAAGGAACAGGTACGTCCATAGTACCCTGTTTTATTGCAACCTACAATTAGCAATGATGACCTTTATATACAGGTTTACATCCCTGAGAAGCAACTGTTTCTATGTGACAATAACGACAGTTTGTGTCAGGACAGGGGAAGGAACAAGTTGGTCCATAATAACCTGTTGCAGTACAACCTTAAAAAATACAATGAAATTTACAGTGAACACGATGGATCTTTACCACATATAACTGCGTGTATTTGAATATGATGTATTGCTTAATCTGCTGATGATCGTTTTTGGCTCCACCTTGGTCAGGGGTAATGATTTGAACAAAAACAAAAACCATCACTTCATGGGGTAGTTATAAATGTATGATTATTTAGGCAATAAAATGCTTTCTTTGGTCTTTAATGTGAAAGATATTTTCTTTCTGCAATAGCTGCGACATTAATTCTTCTACTAAAACAGACATCGCTTTGATTATAAATGTGTCTGTTCTATAGATATGTACATCACTGTATACTTCAGTGATTGAATAGCCACTGAAAAAAGATCTACACAAGATGCTTGCTTAGAGGAGTTAAAGTCTTGAATATGTTCAGCGGATGCAAAAATATATCGAATTTGCAATTCATCCTTTTTAAAAAGATGTTGAAATAAAAGCCCCTGGTCAAACTCTCTATGGTGACATTACAATAAGTGCATTGTTTTGTTTTAGGGTGTATTCTGATGTCCAAAAAATAACCAAAAGAATGTGAAGAACATTATACAAATATAGCCTTTTAATGAGGCCAGTACTTACATTTATAGACCTTAGAGAAAGCATATCAACCGAGCACAAAATTCGAGGTTTAATATACTTATCACAACAAAAATTGCATAAAAAAAGAAAATTATGGAATTTATAAATCCAGGGAGAAAAGTACCAACTATATTAAGGTTTAGCCGATAGCGCAAGATAAAAATAGAAGAAAACCTGCTTGGCAGGAGTGGAGTATAAACTTTTCACAGCTGATAAAAAGTTCCATGTGGTTTACTATTTGTTTGTAGGTTAAGAACTTGTTTATATAAGGTGATGATTAAGTCAAGAATGAGGGTTTAACCAAACAAAGAAGTTGATGCGAGGTATCAGAGGTCATGCATCTGTATACTTTATCCATAAGGAATAAAAAGTCAAGATTATGCAAAAGGTACACTAAAAATTTTAAAGTGCAATAAAAGATTAAAAGAAGATTTGAGGACGGATCATGTCAGTTTAAATTCAGAGCAAAATTAAAAGTCATTAGGGTAAATTTTGAAGAAATACTCAAATACGCAGGGCATGTACGGGGGTATAAATGTAGCGCAGTGAGACACATCAAGCCGGTGGTCTGCTGGATTTTGTCTCTTTCTGGTTGCATTTGTAAAGGTAAGATATTTTTGTAGACGCGCGATTTTTGTAAAATGGGTAACTTTTTTTTTCAGATGGCCCAATGTATTTACAGGATAATATATTTTATAATCTAATAGTAATGTTTCTTATTTATTATAATGTTAATTGTATTGGTTATCGTTGTATCTTTAGTAATTGCAAATTTTTAGAATTATTTGTTAATTTAAGAAAGGGTGGTCTGCTGGATTTTGTCTCTTTCTGGTTGCATTTATACAGGTGGGGTAACAGCTAGGGCCACTCCCCATAACCTGTGATGGACAGGAAGAAACTAAATCCTAGGAAGAGCCAGTAGATTCAAACCGGAGCGTCATTTTGAGAAATAAAGGACCATCAATAACCTAACTAACTTGGGTCAATCTGGTCAAGACCAGGGGATTGAAGTAATTGTTTCCCTGTATATATTTAAGAAATACTTCTCAAAGATAATTTCCCATATCTTCAAAGTTTGCATTTCACCTTCTTCTGAGATCCCACTTTTAAAACTAAATTTTATTAATGTCATTGCAGTTGGTTTCCAATTTATTGGCCCGGTAGTTCTTATTTAGACCCCAGCTATTCATTTAGTATCTTTTTATGTTTAGACATGCCACTTTACTGGAACATATGCGAATTTCCCAGCAACCAAAATTAAAACATACCGTAGACTTCTACTTCACACAGTTCATTATGTGCATCCTTAGAAAACTGTCCAGCATTTGATGAATCCTGAGGTCTTTTGTTGAAATATATAACATATTGACCGTGTACAGGGCAGGGTATGTTGGCCACCGCTGGTATTGTGGATCTGGTGTAGTTCGTGTCGTGGAAACATAGATGTCCATCTTCAGTGTTTGTTGTGTTAGACACATAAATATAAAATCCTAGAAATCTGGCAGTGTAGCCATTAGAAGCATCTAAAATGAGATTTAATAAAAAATCTATAGCCGAGGAGAAGTCAAGAAAATACTTTCTATCATCAAGTGAAATATATTCGAAATGATTATTTTTGTATGTTCCCTAACAGAAGTTTGAGAACGTTTGTGTGCCTTACATGTTCATCAATTTTGTATCATTTTAAACACATAAAAAGATCATTTTGAATACTTCTTTAAGTTTTGAGATACCGGCAACAAAGCACTGGTAAAAACATGAATTATACCTTCACTGCTGTGTAAACATTATTAACACATGTTGAGGTTTCACTTGTTAAACAATGGGCATGTTGTATGGGCCCACCTGTGAAGGTACATGTACATATTGTCGTTGTGTACATATTGTCTTCAGCGAGAATATGTACCTTCCTTCACTGCACATTTTGTCGTCCATCGGTAAATATTTTCGCTGGTAACCATATGTACCGAGACGAGTCTTTTTTTCCTCCTGTATAATGCACGACAAAATGTACATCGCGCATTTGTACATTCTGTCACCGGCGACAATCTGTACTGTGAATATTTGCAAATTTTGTCGCCGATGTATTGTGTTGAAGAATATTTACTATGGTCGTGATGAGAGAGAGAGAGAGAGAGAGAGAGAGAGAGAGAGAGAGAGAGAGAGTGAGAGAGAGATTGCCACACAGTGATTAATTAAAATCATTGAACCATTCGGTTTTTTTTACATTGTGTTTGCAGTATAACGTTTGCACAACTGATCCGTCTACAAGGATAAAAGTAGCAAGAAAAATACTTGATGTGATAACAAAAGATTAAACAAGAGAAATTTAATATACTTACTCCATGGTGCATTGTCTGTCCTGTAATATATTCTTATATCGTGGATGCTGTGGATGGATGTCAAATCAACCCACCAGGTTGCAGTTCTCTGACGGACATGTGATATAACACACTGTCCTCCAAAGGCTGAGAAATTCGTTTTCAAACCATCAACAGCATTGCTGGAATGAAATGTAGCCTCTCCATATTTTTTATCGTTACTGACGTACACGTTTGATTGGTGTGTGGGTTTATTCAAAGCTATATTTTCTGAAAAAAAAAGATATTTAAAAAAATGTCCCAGATGCTATTAAATAAATAACAATCATTGATAACAGAATGCTTAAAAACTATATACGAAGGTTTGCTAGAAAAGTTCGCGGGTAAGTTCTATTGTGAGCGCGCTATATGCATGAAATAAGGAAATCTCTGCAAGGTAAAAATTATACGTACAGTACCGACCAGACACAACCTAACAGAAAGCGAAGCCAGAGCCCCGGGTTCGCTCTCTGGGTTCGCTTCGGGTTCGCTTGCGGTCCGCTAGTGCTGGCCCCGAGCGAACCCGGAGCGCACCCGTAGCGAACCCGCAGCGAACCCAGAGCGGACCCAGGGCGAACGCTGAAAGCGAACCCCAAATTCAGTAGCGGTCCCAGAAAGCGAACGCGCGTTCGGTGTTGCGTAACAGAGCTGTCAATCAGTATTAGCGATTAACTCATCAGCGCGTCGACCAATCAACATGCAGAACAGGTGTGTCAATCAGGATAAGTGATAATAAAA